AAAAGAGGATCAGATTCCTAAAAGAACACCACAAAGGCCTTTTTTAATTTCGAGATTAAGCTTCACAATCTGGATGATTGTCACCTTATAAACTAAGTCTTAAATTTATATAAGGATTTCATCAGTTATGTCTAATTATTATATCTTCTCCCCAAATGAAAGCCTTTTGGTGTTTGCTAGTCAAAAAAAAATAACCAAAACAAAATAATAATTCAATTGTGATCAAAAAGGCAACAAAAAATGATGAAGTAAACTCGATTCCAGTGACCATCCAAAGAGGCTCCCTCCCCCACAGGGACCCATAAAAAATACTGTAATTCATTTGTTTCAGTTGCATACTGTTAGATACTGGCATATAGATCTATGTCAACAAATAACATGTTAAATAAGGACCTACATGAAGTAAATAACTAATTTCTGATACTTTCTGAATTTAAAAGACATAACATCAATCAATAAAAAAATTAGCATTTATTAAGCATGTGCTTTACCTTCCTCTTCCTCCCACCCCAACCTCATTTTCTTCAACAAACCATAACCAGAGATGGTTGAACCAAATGCCAACTCTTTACCTTTCTTCCTTTTTTCCCCTCTTCTCTCTCTTTTCCTTAAGGTACCATGAATACTGGTTATTTTGGCCAGGACATGGTGACTCATTAATTTTATTTTTACAGACACAAATAATTTAACATATTGAGAACATTAAGAAGAGCCCCAAAAGGAAAATTTTTTTCCTGTTACCATGTTGTGTAATAATATAGGGAGCTTTAAATTTTCAGTCTGAAACTATAGCTGCATCTTTCAGATCTGGCATCTAACAGTGACAGATGGTAATGATAAAAATAAATAGAACACTTGAGTTGTTTATACTGTAGGCAAAGGGAGTTTTAAAGTGTGAAACAAGCTTAGTGCTGATAGAATTCATATCATCCTTTATAAAACGTATTGAGGATGCATATTTCCCTATACCAACTCTGAAATGCTGCTCACAAAACCTAAAACAATAGCTTTTGAAGGTATGCTGTCATTGCAACATCACTAATTTAGAAATAACAATGCCATAAAGGATTAAGTAGAAATCATTTTCCTGAACTATCAATAACTGACTTTCCCAAATTTTAAAAGTTTCTGGAAGTTTTCACTATGAGAAATGTTCCCATTAAATGCATGAGAATCCACTAAAGTACTGTTAGAATTAATAAACAGCTCAACAAGGTTTCAGGACAGAAGATTAATATACAGCTGATTGTATTTCTATGCATTATGATAATAAGAAAACAAAATTATTAGAGGACTTAGACCAACTAGACATTAACAACAAAAATAAAAGGAACCCAGATTGGAAAAGAAGTGAAACTATCATTATTTGCAAATGACATAGCATACATATAAAACCCTAAAGACTCCACAATAACTACTAGAAACAATAACCTAGAACAGTAAAGAGGCAAGCTACAAAATGAATATACAAACATCTATTGTGTTCCTATATACAGACAAGGAGCTAGACAATAGAGAAATTAAGAAAACACTCTTGTTCACAACTGAGCAAACCGAGCAAGTGAAAGACCTGACCTGTATGATAAGAACTACAAGACACTGTTGAAAGATATAGAAGACACAAAGAGATGGAAAGATAATCCATGCTCATGGATGAGGTAATAGTTAAAATGGACATCTTACCTAAAGCAACATTCAGATTCAATGCAATCTTTATCAAAATTCCAATGATATTTTTTAAGGAAGTAAAACAACAAAAAAAATACTTTTAGGGGAGTAGAACAAAAAAGATGGTACTACTTCACAGATTTTATACAGATTCAGTATAATCCCTATCAGAATTCTAGGTGGTTCTTTTAAAAATGGACAAGCTGATTCCAAAATTCCAATGCAATTGTAAGGGACCCTGAAAGGTCAACTCAATCCTGAAAAATAAAGTAAGAGTACTTGCCAACTACAAAACTTACCACAAAGCAACAAAACAAGGTAATACTGGCATATGGACAGATATATAGACAATGGAACAGAATTAAAAATACACATATAAACTGCTATTGAGATCTATCTATCTATCTATCTATCTATCTATATATATATACACATAGAGAGAGAGAGAGAGATGTATATCCATTTATATATGTCAACTGATTTTCTATAAGGAAGTCAAAACAATGCAGTGGGGAAAGGATACTCTTTTCAACAAATAGTGCTGGAATAACTAGACATCCAATGGAGATGGACTTCACGCCAAAAAAAATAACTCAAAATGTATCATAAGCTAAAATGTATAATCTAAAACTATAAACTTCTTAGAAGAAAATGTAGGAGTAAATCTTCACCTTGATTGAGGCAAAACCCTCTTAGATAAGACACCAAGGGTGTCTAAAGAAAGGTGCTAAAAAAAATATAAACTGAGCTTCATCAAAATTAAAAACTTCTACATATACTTGAGAGACACATCTACACAAAACCTGCAGTTCACTTAAGCCAGGATTCCCAGTCTCTTTTCAAGACATTTTTATCCTTTGTTAAATCCTTTCTTTGGTAATAGCAGAGCTTGAAAGATGAAAACATGTATCTACACAAAAACTTATATATGAATGTTCAGAGCAGCATTATTCATCACAGACAAAAATGAAAACAATCCATAATGAATGGCTGAATAAAATATGGTATAAATCTATATAATGGAATATTATTTAACCATAAAAAGAATGAAATACCAATACAGGGATAAACAGTGAACCCATTATGCTAAATGAAAGTAACCAATCATAAAAGACCACATTTTGTTTGACTACATTTATGTGAAATGTCCAGAATAGGTAAGTCTACAGAACAAAGAGCAGGTCAGTAGCTGCTTAGGGCTGGGGAGAGGAAGAATAATCTCTGCCAATGGGTAGAGGATTTTATTTTAAGTTACTAATGCCATACTTTAAAGAGAAAAGCTGTAGTCATCACAATCACAAAGAACATTTATTAACCAAAAACCCTGAAGAAATCTTTTTTAGTAAGTTTACCCAAAGGAGTGGGATTTAACAGAGGAAACAAATGCCTTGAAAAGGCAATGAGAATACTGGCTAAAGTAGAACTGTAGAGGACACTAATTCACAGTCATTTTTCTACTCAATAAATAAAGATAATCTATCTAAAATTTTTAAATTTCAGTGAGAAAAATTGGAATACTGAGTCCCTAACCTACTATGAATAAGCTTCATTGGGCAAGGTATTACTGTTCTTTACAATTACCTAAATGGGTTTGGTATGTGCCTTGGGGGCAGAGGTAAGAAAGTATGAACTAAGCAATGAATAAACTTTCACAGGTATGAAACCTAGAAGATAAGTTAAAGAAAACAGTCCAAATAAATTCTAAGGCCAGGATTTTTTCCTTTTCCACTAGGGAGGAGGGGAGATGGAAGTAGGAGTGGTGTAACAGAAACAGTAGAGGGAATAATCACACTACAGGGAGAAATAAATGTGATTGCTTCCTCTTCTCTCCTTAGTCTTTGATTTCATTTCTTTACAAAATTTAATACACACCAAAAAGTTCTAGACTAGGTATTCTACAAAATATTTCCCTTAAGAAATGACACCAGGGCCTCCCTGGTGGCGCAAGGGGTTAAGACGCAAACTATGAAGCTGTCCGCAGCCTCTGCAGCACAGAGTATGACTCCCCGACAGTTAGGGAGCAACCCACATGGCGCAGCAGACCTCTCTTGCCTTGCCCACTGCTCCCCTCAGCAGTGTACTTTGGTCAACCTGCCTGTTCTGTTCTGCACTCTGTCTCTGGTAAATCCTCTCACCCTCAGCACCTCTGGCCTGTAACCCAGCTCTTGTATGCATAAATGAATAAATAAATCTTTAAAAAAAATGACACCAATAAAAACAAAAAATCATTTTTTTATCTTAAGGCCCTGTAACACTGCTCTACACTTACATATTTGTAAGATAATCCATATATTTATTTATTTATTTATTTATTTATTTATTTATTTATTTATTTATTTTTAAAGATTGATTTATTTATTTATACAAGCACTGGGTACAGTTAGAAGCACGGGAGGGTGAGAGAATTCACCAGAGCCAGAGTGGGGAGCAGAACAGGCAGACCGATGAAACACTACTGAGCGGAGCAGCGGGCGGCAGGAGAGGTCTGCGCGCCATGTGGGACCCTCACCCCGTGGCCGGGGATCGAACCGGCGCTGGGGAGGCTGCGGGCAGCTTCGCAGCCCGGCGCTCAACCGCTGCGCCACCAGGGGAGGCCCAATCCATATATTTATAAGCATTGTGAACATATTATATAAATATGAAGGACTGTTGTTTAAAAGTTTTAATATTCACAGGCACAGATAAGCTATGTATTTCCTTCATTTATTAATTTTCAGTTAATTATACTATCTTCATGTCAGTTCTTTAAACCTGTTTTCTTTTACTGTTTTTTCATTAATAAGCTTTATTCCGGGCCTCCCTGGTGGCACAAGTGGTTAAACCCAGCACTATGAAGCTATCCGCAGCCCCTGCAGCACAAATTCAATCCCTGGCCAGCCAGGAAGTTACCCACATGGTGCAGCAGACCTCTCCTGCTGCTCCCCTCAGCCATGTATTTCAGTCAGTCTGCCTGCTCTGCTCCCCATTCTGTCTCTGGTGAATCCTCTCACACCCCACACCTCTGGCCTGTACTCCAATTCTTGTATGTATAAATAAATCTTTTTTTAAAAAAATAAGCTTTATTCCTATCATAAAAATATAAAAGTAAATAATGACAATGCTTAGTGAAGCAAATAATTCTTAAAAATGTATGCATGTAAATAAACCTTGGTGAAATGATCAATAGAGAAATAAGAACATATTAAAAATCAAAATCACATAAAACCAGGAATACACATTGTATCATTAAATGCAAAGAACAGCAAACCAAGTTATGTACTCCCCTGGAAGAGAAAAATCTGTATCTTGAAGCAACTGATAAAATAATCACACTAATGAAAGAGTGTACTCACCTGGTTTTGGCACTGAGTTGGTCACTGACTGGGGAACTTTCTGGTTAATTAACTCAACACAGTGTCCAGGGAAGAGTCCCACCTAAGGAAGACAGGCAGCAAAGAGTCTAAACCAGAGAACAGACCAGTGTATGAACTGCCAAATCAATTCCAGTAATGTTCTCCATGGTTGCTCCCAAAAGATTCTACTATTCCAAGACTCTAAATCACAAATGATGCCAATGACACAAACAAATAATACAACAATCTGTTGCTATGAATAGTTACATTTTTTATTTGTCCAAATATCTGTCTGCTTTTTTAGTTGTGTGCTTTTAATTACCTAAATTTTTTATACCAATTAGAATATTTAAGTCCAGTACCAAGTTATGCATATAGTAGGCACAATTTTTGTCTCCTAACAATTTACTTTGCTGAAATTTAAATCTGATTGTATTCATATCTCTATTGCCAAATCTTATGTATTTATTGTCTTCTCTGTAATTTCTTAAAAATCAACCCTAAACTACATTCAAACTTTCTGTAAATTTTTTCTTTATTTTCCCACAGGTTTCATTGGAAATGACTGGGCTGAAATAAATTGGTAAAACAATCATGCACTTAAAATCCTAGTATTCACTGTTGTTAAACAGCTATTAGTGTGTGGATTTGTGGGAAAGCAAGAAAGAAGAAAACAGCCAATCTCAGCAGCAGAGACAGACTCTGGCTTTGAGAAACATACCACCTTGACCTGGTAATAGAATTGCTCACAGGCTTCAGAAGAATCCTAAGAAGTTGTATTAGAAAAATACTGAGCCTTAGATCACCCAGAAATGCATTATAGACCACAGAATAAATATAAAGATAATGAGCCTGGAAACAAAAGTAAAGACAAAATCTTTACCAATATTTATAGATGTTTCCTTAGATAGGGATATAAATGGGCTGCTGTATAGCAGATGTTAAAGCTGAAACTTGAAAATTACTTCACTTTGTACATCCCTCTGTTGACAGACTCTGGGGAAGAAAAGGGATGGTCTTCCAAGAGTATGATTCATCATGAAGTTTCTGAGCTGTATAATTTCCATCTGTGTGGGAGTTATTTTCATTTGCTATATTCTTATTTCAACTTATAGATCAATAGACTATGATAGTTTTTAAAATTATGAAGATACAACCAGTTATCATGAGCTTAAAAGGGGTTCTTAACAAATTATCAGTTTTGTTTCAAAGATTTTAAACTTGTGAATCTTAAAGTTCCTATGCATTGCCTTCCAAAATGTTGCTTTAAAAAGTTGTTTTATTTGTTGGTGAAATTCCATATCATGTTGTACTCAACTTCCTATTTAAACAAGTAGAAATTTTCGCAAGATTGGTTAGAACCAGGTGAGAGACAACTTTAAAAATCTTTTCTCATTCTTACATAAAACAGTCATGAGAAGTTTATGGTGTTAATGGCTAATAGCGTAGCCTCAAAAGTAGAGAGAAGACCAGTTTCTAAACTTGGCTGACCTATTCACTAGGTACTGTGATCTGATGCAAACTGTTTAACATCTGTCTCAGACTTTTAATTTGTAAAAATGGGAATAACATTAGCTACCTCAATAGCTTGTGTGGAAGGATGTAGTTTCTAAACTTGAATATCTTTCAGTAAATAAAAATAATTTTACATTACCTCTTCGCAAAGACTAAATGAAGCTTAATGAACTCCTCTTGGGAACATTATCATATAAACCAGTAACACTTTCACCTTTTAAATTTGTCTTTATGCATTAGGTTTAGGTATATGGGGGGGAATGTATTCATACACTATACAGAGGTCTGTAAGGTTTTTTAGATACCTAATATTCGTCCTTGCTCCTTTTATTATGATGTGTAATATCACTAAATATTAGCTAACCTAAATCTCAGCTCCCAGAACTCCTTGTATCAAGTTGTAGCCACCACACATGTAAGCATTCTGTCTCCTTTCTGCTGCGAATGCAACACTGGCTCTGCAGAGGCAATCATTTGACCTTAATAGAAGGTCAAGAGAACCTCAGAAACTTCTGCCTACCATCATTAAGCTGCTGAGCCAACAGTAGCAATTGGTCACCTTTTCAGTTCAATACTTTTCTGCTTATTGATGTTAAGAGTGTTACTATTAAGGATGTTAAGAGTGTTACTATTATAAAATCAGCATTGATTTTATAAATTTATGAAAGGCAAACAGATTTGATTTTCCTATTATAAGATTTCCATCATAAAAAATGAAACTATGTTCTGTTAAAAATATACAAAAGAATTTAACCTTAAAAATATAGTTGATGAGCCTTTATACCTTTCTGATTCATACTGAAGTTATTTTACCAAACATGTATCATTTTGATACACTCAAAATGTCAAATGTTAAAAGTGACTGAAACTCTAGCTATATGATCTATAAACTATGTCATTCAGTTTCATATATTAGTCTTTCTGCAGCAGTGGCAAATTCTAAAGCTCTAATTTATATGGCAGGGAAGGGAAATGAATATATATTACCAGGGATCAAAATAAGAATCAACTCTAGAAGAAGATGGAAAAGTGGAAGAAAAAAAAAAAACAAAAAAACACCATCTAGGGCCCAAAGGGATAAAGGTTTAGATAATAAAAATACAGTAATAGAAGGGGGTGGGAGGTGGGCAATGTAAAGATGTAGCTGGAACAGATTAGGGATGGACTAAGAAAATCTTTGATTTGGTAATCTTCCTCTAAGTTTTTGAGATAAAGTAGAAGTCAGAGGTGTTATTATATCCCATGGTCCAGTGATAAATGTTTAACATGTGGCACTTCAAGGGGAAAAGCTTTGATTTACAGTGTTTGCCAAGTGCCCATGGTGTAAATACTCCTACATGGCTGGTTTCAAGCTACACAGTGACACCACTGAATGCAGAGTTGAAAGAGATGGGGAACAGCTTGTTATGTAGTGTTTACACCATATAGCATACTAGATGAAAATAACCCTGTGAGCATAGATAACAGTAAAATGATTACAAAAAAATTCTAAGTCTTTATTAGCTTTGCTTTCAATACATCAATACATATAAACCTACATACTCTAGTTTTTAATAATGGCTGTGTTCAATAACTCCCCTCCAAATTCCTAAAAATTTCATAGCTGGCTCCAGGCTCAGCACTAATGTTTATCTGTATGTTTGGTTCTGTGCCTGAACTACCTACCCCAAGTAGCTCGTGAGGATAAGGTTTCCAGTAGTTTGACAAGTTATATGGCTTACTCTCTGACCCTCAGAAAATAAGGAGAGATTTAAAGGGACTGCAATTTGCTTCTCCAGACCTTCTACCTTGAGGATATGCTCAAGCTATAAAGAAAAGCTGGTTTGCCTACAAAAGTGAATGTACTGAAAAATATTTTGGTAAAACTTAGAGGGAATACTGCATTAGAAATTGATGCAATAAAGTAAGTCTGGAGCTCTGTCCACAATGAAAAGAGAAAGGAATCGATCCAACCATGGTCTCTCTAAGGAAACCCATCAAAAGCTGAAAAAAAATTCAACATGACAACATGTTCACTGCAGACTTTTAAAGAAATTCTTATTTTATGGCTTGTTTAATTTAGGGTTAGTAAACCTTTAGGGGTTTAAGCATAACAAGCCTTTTTTTTTTTTTAAATTAAGCTTAGTAAAGTAATGCTCTTATTCACAGATATATACCACAGATATTTCATCAGTTGGAAATATTTGACCTTAGAATTTTTCCAGTTTTTTGGAGTACAACTTCATATCCCACCAGGTCTCTAGTATTCAAATGCATGAAGTTCAAATTTGGAAGTATCACACCTCTTTCCTATATTTTCCCCCTAAGTTAGCTTTCCCCATTCCAATCTCTTTTTTTGCTACCTATTATGTACTCTGTGACTGATCAAATGAGTTTTCAAAAATAATCAGTTAGCTTTAATTTCCTTGCAATATTAACCTTCTGCCAAAACAGCACAATAAATCTTCAAAGTTAAATCAATCTACTTCTCTATTTTGCATACTTCTGCAGTGCTGGAGAAAAATCACTCACTGAGATTTGAACCGATATGAATTCACAGTCTCCCATCCAGAAATGCCATTTATTTTCACTCCACTCCCCAAATTTTCTAGAGAATCTTTTCCCCTTTGGGGTCTCTTTCTAGTCAGACCTCTATGGCCCTGCTCACACCATCCCAGCACTGGTACTCAAGCCACAGATCAATGAGCCAAGTAATCTGGCTACTAAGATTTTGGATCTAAGTTTGAAACTTTATCTCCACTCAGTTGTTAGAATGAAGACATTTTCCTTCTTTGTTTTTAAGAAGAGAATGAAACAAAGAAGCAATAGCTACTACTACATTGTAAAAAAAAAAAAAAAAAAAAAAAAAAAAAAAAACAACAAACTGGAAGCGTTTCTGTTATTAAGGTATAACATTTTGATAAATTCTGACATTCTTAAAAATATAGGTACAATACACATCAAGGATATATTCCTCAAACCCAAAAGTTTCCTTGTATCTCTTTGTGATCTCACTCTCTCTCTCTGCCTGCCCTCTATTCCTGCTCCCCAGGCAACTATTGATATATTGATATTTCCCATCTCTATACATTACTTTAAATTTCCTACAGTTCTATAGGAATGGAGTCACATAGAATGTATTCTTTTGTTGGTTTTTTTTTTCATTCAGTACAATTATTTTGAAGATCATATTATTGTAAATATCAATAACTCATTCCCTTTTATTCCTGGAACCTAACTTAATGGTGAAGATAGGTTATTGAAAACTACAATTTTATGTGAAATGATAATGAAACATTTTGTTCAATGTGGGCCAAGATTCTTTTTATCTCATCAACATTAAAATAAAATGTTATTCAAGGACCTGCTGTATTCCACTGTACAGATAACAACCTTTGTTTATTCCTTAATCTTTTGTTGATTCCAGTTTGGGGATATTATGGCTGCTATGAACATCCATGCATAAGATTTTATATGAACATAAGGTCTCTTTTCTCTTGCATAAATACCTAGGAATAGAAAGGCTAGGTTATGTAGTAGGTGTATGTATAACTTGAGAAACTGGAGGCGGTTCAAGATGGCGGTGTG